CCAATATTGTAAAAGCAATCCAAACGAACCACTTAATTGTGTGTATTCTTTTTTTTTTTTTTGTAAGATCTATTTATTGCTCATTGCAAAGTCAGATATACAGAGAGGAGGAAAGACAAACAGGAAGATCCTGCGTTTGATGACTCACACTCCCCAAGTGACCACAATGGCTGGAGCTTGAGCACATTTGAAGCCAGAAGCCTGGAGCCTCCTCCAGGCCTCCCATGCTGGTGCAGGGTCCCAAAGCTTTGGGTCATCCTCCACTGCAGGGAGCTGGATGTAAGGCGGGGTTGCCAGGACACGAACTGGCACCCACGTGGCATCCCAGCACATGTTAGGTGAGGACTTTAGCCACTAGGCTAGTGCTTCAGGCCCTGTTTGTGTGCATTCTTAAGGTCGTGAAATACATGCACTGGTGTTGTGGGGATGTTGGCTGGCTTGTGCCTCCAGTGCATGAAGGCCCACTGCCTGGAGGATTTTCTACTGCAATCCCACACCGCCATCTGGTGATGAACTTGAGAAGCTCAAGTTTTAATTTCTATTTTCCTAGTCAAAATGAAGACCAGCACACCATTAGCAGAGGAGGGCCTGTTATCCTCTAAGAATACTTCTTGTCTTCTTGTCCATAACTTTCCAGCAACAACAACAAAAACAACAAAAAAGAAAAAATGCGGAAGGGTATGATTCTAAGATTCTTATAAATCTTATTAGAGCACCCAATACCCCATCGTAGAACTGCGGGTCTGTCTGGTTCCAAGGCTGGATTTAAGGGTCCAGCTCGGCCTCTGACTCCAGATTTAGAGAGCAAAGTCAAGCCTCATTGGCCAAATCCTATGCGACGGAAGGGATTTATTCTTTTTGGTGACCTAAGACTTCACTGGCACTTGTCTTTATTGGGGGACTTGTATGTGCTAGCCTTCCTTCCTTCCTGTAGTTGAAGACTGAAGTTCTTGGTTAAGCTTTAGGAGATCTTGCTTAGACTTGGAAATGGACAGGTTTGTATGAGATTAAAGGTACACCCCATACCCTGGCCATTTTCACAGGACAGTGTGTGTCTGAGAGTGACAACAAAACAGGTCTGTTTCCCAGGGGGGGAGACAGTAGGAAGAGCTTCTGCGCAGACGCAGTCTCTGTTGTTTTGCTTGGGGGGGAAAATGGATACCAATGTTTGTTCCTAGAATAATCCTCTTAAAGAACAGCTTGGGGTCCGACACCATGGCCTAGTGGCTAAACTCCTCGTCTTGAACGCACCAGGTTCCCATATGGGTGCCAGTTCTATGGTCTTCCCATCCAGCTCTCTGCTTGTGGCCTGGGAAAGCAGTGGAGGACGGCTCAAGGCCTAGGGACCCTGTACCTGCATGGCAGACCCGAAAGAAGTGCCTGGTTCCTAGCTTCGGATTGGCGCAGCACCGGCCGTTGCGATCACTTGGGGAGTGTATTGTCGGATGGGAGATCTTCCTCTCTGTCTCTCTTCTCTGACTTTGTAATAAAAATAAATACATCTTTATCTTTTTAAGGAAAAGCTTGGCAATCACAGAGTAATCCAAAGAAAAGCTGAAAATTTTGTTGGTGATATCAGCACATAAGGAAAAGCTAAGATAAATAAAATAGCTTAGAAGTACAGAGTTACTTGAGCGTGTTCATGGAAATATGAAATTCAAAGATAAGCTTCCTTTGGTGTAAAAAAAAAATAGGAATCCAGACAGGTTCTTTTTTTTTCTTGTAAAATGTATTTCCACACATATTTTGAAAGATCCTCATGTGTTTAGAAGTTTTAAAGAATGGTTGGTGTGTTTGGTTGGTTTGTTCATTCTTGTGTGCCCACCTATCCTTACTCTATTCCTTAAGGAATCTAAGCTACTGTATCCAGGGTAAGAGTTCTAGAAAGCTAAAAGGGCTTCCGAAGACACCCAGTGTGCTGTTCCTGGCGGATGAGCACTTTTCCGTAGAGTGGCTTGTTCAGGACCGCACAGGTGGCGGTATAGGTGGACCTGGAACTCAGGTATAAGTCCTTTCACAGAGTTCTTGTGAGTGTCCTGCATCTCTCAGCCTTCTCCCTGGAAACACAAGCTGTTGTCGTGTGTGTCTGATTCTCCTGCCTCTTTTACTGTCCCCTTCATATTTTAAAAACATTTTACTTATTTGAGAGACAGACCTTCTGTTAACTGAAGACTCACAGCTTGCAGCCAATAAAAGAGCGTAGATCTCATAAGCTAGCAAATATTTGTATTGTTTATTTGAGAAATAGAGAGCGAGCGAGTGCGAGCGAGCACCGGCTCATCCTCTGGCTCACTCCCCAGAAGCCTGAGGTTGGGGAAGAGGAATTCCATCCAGATCTCTTACGCGGTGGCAGAAATGTGGTTACGTGGGCCATCAGAGGTACCACCCAGTATCTGCTTCAGCCAGAGACAGACATCAAATCAGGCGCTCAGATATGGGACATGGGTATTGTAACCAGTAGATAAAATTATTGCTAAAACAAAGTAAAAAAAAAAAAAAACTTACTTTATTTGAAAGCGAGCAAGCGAGTGAGAGATAAAGGTCTTCCATTGACTGGTTCATTCTGGAATGGCCATGACAGCAGGACTGAGCCAGGTAGAAGCCAGGCCAGGTACTTCATGCCATGTGGGTATAAGGGCCCAAGGATTTGTGTTATCCTCTGCTGCTTTCCTAGGCACGTTAGCAAGCAGCTTTTTTGGAAATGGTTCAGCCAGGACTTGAACTGGCAGCCACTTGGGATACTGGTACTGCAGGTGGTGGCCTAACGCACTGCACCACAATACTAATCCCTAAGACAGATTTTTTTTAAAAAGATTTATTTATTTTTATTAGAAGGATAGATATACAGAGCGGAAGAGAGACCAAGAGAAAGATCTTATGTTCGCTGGTTCACTCTCCACGTGACCACAATGGCAAGAACTGAGCTGATCCGATACCAGAAGCCAGGGGACTCTTCTAGGTCTCCCATGTGGGTCCAGGGTCCCAAGGCTTTGAGATGTCCTCTACTGCTTCCCCAGGCCACAAGCAGAGAGCTGGATGGAAAGTCAAGTAGCCAGGACATAAACCAGTGCCCATATAGGAACCTCGTGTGTGCAAGGCAAGAACATTAGCCATTAGGCTACTATGCCAGGCCCCCTAAGACAGATATTTTTAAAACACCTTCTATGTATCGCTGTAAAAACCACTATCCAGAAAAATACAGGGTAAATATTAGATGATAGTTTAAAGACAGACAAATATTTTCTTTAGGTAGACAGGATGTGAATTGATAGATATTATTAATTATTTTCAAAACTAGAATTAACTTGTATTTCAGCAGCCACATGTATTTCCTTCCAAAAATGTTCAGAGACCTCATTCCTTGGACAAAGACGCAAATTAGGGTCGGCATTTGGCTTGCTGGCTAAGATGTTGGGTGTGAGATCCTCATGTCATGTTGGGGTACCTGAGCTCTACCCTTAGCCCCAGCTTCTGCTAATTCAGATCCTGGGTGTAGTAATGATGGCTTAGGTAATCGAGTTCTTGCCACCCAGTGGGACACCTACATGGAGTTCCTATGCCCTAGCTTGAGCTCACCCCAGTCCGGCCCATCACGGGGATTCAGGCGATGAACCAGTATATGGGGGCTCTTTTTGTCTGCCTGTATATCTGCTTCTGAAATTTAAAAAAAAATTAAAAATTCTGATTGTGGAATGAGACTTTCTGAGTTTCTTTGATATGATTACCAATATAAAGCTCAGAAATGCTGCTACAGATTCTATAACTTGCTATCATCAGCCTTAGAAATGTTATCAAATATGAATGGATTGCCTTTTTCTCTAAATGGATGCATATAGTATCTTTTCCAAGACAACGCAAAGCATAAAATTTAACTCAGTTAAAACTATTCCACAAAGATCACTCTTTCTCCTCTCTTCAGATGTCTGTTAGTGACAGACACCATCCAGCACTGGATCCCAAGGTGCTTTCCTTGGTATCTAATTCCATGTGCATGTTGAGAAGTTCATCACCTCTTTGCTATTCTGAGATTAGCTGTGAGACTACCGAAGCCCCTTGTGTGTGTTACACTGTTACCAAGTATTTCTTCATGCCTCAATTATACTCAAAACTTCTCATGATCGTTAATATTGCTCTTTAAAGTCATCCTTAGGGCTGACTCTAAGTCATCCTTTGAAGCAGCAGTCAATTAAATCTTTGTATGCCAGGCCTGCCTGAAGCATGTTGTCCTATTCTAAAAACGAAGGCGTGAAAGGCATTACATATGTCGAGGAAGTTAACTGAGAAACCCTAAGCACGGGTCCCTGTTTAGATGTCTGCTGCACGCTGGCTAATGCGCTAGCCCCCTACTGCACTCCGCTCTCTGGCCCCTCTGCCGCCAGTTTATTTGGCAGGTGAAAACTAGCCCATTCCCAGGGACTACTTCTCAGAGAAAGCTTCCTCTACAAGCTTCAGGTTCTTCCAAATATCCTGACTTGGGTGCTTCTTGGAGAGGATTCTTTAATAGAATTTTGGAGATGGGGATTGCTAGGCTTTCCACTGCTCCCCAGTGGCAGGCGAGGCTGGAGCGCTCGGCAGTAGTTGGAGAAGGACTTACTCTGCAGCAGCAGCTCCGTCTCTGTCTGGGAGATGGGTCTGGAGCGTTGTCTTGTTTTTCAGCCTTCTGTAAGCCGTCACGCACAGCGCACATCAGACTGCTGCCTTGGACATAGCAACAGCCACGTGATTAGTCAAGATCAGTTTACTTTTATTAAACACATGGGCCCAAAGTGCCTGCTGTGGATACCAAAATGTGTGTGAAATTCGAGTACATTTCTTCCTCTTTTTTTTTTTTTGGTATGGACTGAGGCACCCTTCTTAGCATTTCAGAACCACAAAAAGTTTGTAAACCCGCTTCTATTCATCCAATTGTCAGTTCGTGTTCTGGAAGTGTCTTGATTTTATGTAATTTTCTCTTACTGAGAACTTGTTGTAATATTGTTTTCTGGTGTGTCTTCCTGCAGCCTGCCATATCCTGGAATGCCGCAACGGAATAGCCCAAGTCGTCATAAGTACCATAGGGCAGGCTTTTGAACTCCGGTTTAAACAGTACTTGAAAAATCCTTCTTTGAATACTTCTTGTGAAAGGTCGGCAGAGTTGTATAATTATTTAACTTACTATGTATTTTTCAAATTAATATGGGCTCTCACAATTGACTAATGCCACTAGTGGGTTTTTTTTTTTTCTTTACCAGTAGACAGGGTTTCTGCACAAAGTCATACTGACACATTTGGTTTCTCATCCATTCTTACATTATTTCCCTCTTTGCCCTGTGATGAGATTAAAGGAGACACAAAATGTAAGATGGGCTTGATCGTGTTTTTCCAGTGTTACACAGAGCTATGAGTTCATTAAGGGGAATCATGAAATAATATACATGAATTTCTCAGATTTATTTCAACCTCAGATCCCTTGCATACCAGTTTAAACAAACAAACAAAAAACCCCAAAGATCCAAGTGAAAGGAATCAGCTGCCTGTTGTAGGAGTTATTGTTGGTTTGCTGGCTCCAGCTGAAGTATGGCGGGAGGTTGAAGATGCTGTGACCCGAGGAGCTGGTTGTTCTGTGGAAGGCACAGGGCTGTCAGACTCCCTGTGCGGATTGCCCTGAGGCCTCTGGGAAAAGAAATGCTTGGGCATTTAAGCATGCATTTCCCCGACCCACAATTTGACATTCTGTGTATCAATATGCTCTTTAGGAAGTGGTCTAGGCTAAGCAAAAAGAGAGGGAGTTACTCAAAGGCCTCGGTTCAGAATTTTTCCCTGGATAGCACTAACCCCAGTGTTATCATTTCCTTGACTGGTAATGAACCCCACAAAACTGTGGTTTGTCAATGGAATGAGTTCAACCCCAAAAAGACTTGATGTATTCCTTTCTGTAGAAGAAACTTCACTAATTTCAATTTATAAGGAAAGTCCGTTTTTTTCTCTTTTGCCCTGTTTCAGTTTTAAAAAACAACCACGTGTTTACGCAAATCTTCCCACGTACCACATATGGTTCCAATATTCCTTTATGAATCCCATATACGCCTCCAGATTTGTGCAGACAAGATAGCTGGCCGTAATTCTCGCTCTCTGTCTCTCTCTCTCTCTCTTTGTTTTTTCATCTTCGTTTTGAAAACTGGGCCAGACTTTCTATCCAAAAAACAGTATCTAAATTTGCTTTGAGCAAAACATTTCCCAAATGGAACAATCAGGGTATGCCAGAGGTACCTAGAGAACTTCATGCTTTTATGCTCTCAGAGCAAAAATGACTTCTATTCAGGGACCTGATATATTTATTACTGTTATTACTGGAGAGGGATGCAAAGACACCACCACCTTTGGCACTTTGTGTCCAATTGCTCGACTCTGATTGTCTGTGGAATGATAAACAACTCAACCGTCTGGTTGCTTCTCTCCAGATGTTTGACATCACTAAGGCACAGCTATCAACTTAAAGCATGAATGCAAACTTGCTTGGGATAACTGGCTTGGTTTTGACCCCTCTACACCCCCTGCAGCATTTGAAGCCCTGCCCAGCTGCTGGAGAATTCTTTTTTTTTTTTTTTTTTCCGTTACAGTGAGGAAGTGCACATGGATGGCCCTGCTGAGGAGAGGGAGGACCCCGAGTATTACAATGAGATCCCAGGGAAGCAGCCTCCTGCCGGTGGCATCTCAGATGTGCGAGCCCGAGTTCCAGCTACAGAACAAATGGCTTTCTGTCCCATACGGTGCGAAAAGTTGTGCTATTTGGTAAGCCTTGTTTTGTGGTCGCTTGAACCAACAAGACTAACTGTGCCTTCCGTTCTTACTAGGAATGCTTGATTTGAGGGCTTCCAAATGCTAGCTTAGAGAACGTCTCATCTTGTTCAAATGCAAGGCCAGAGAGTGAATCATGTTGGAGCCTTTTCTATTTTCACATCTTTTACATCCAATCTTCCCTCCAGACCCTTAGCAGATGAGCTCATATCTTGCTTCACCAGTGGGGAACTAGGGAGGTCCAACAAGTTACCCTACTCTTCACCCCTCCCCACCTCCACGTCTCCACTGTTCTTGCTTCTCTTCCTTAGCAACTGTCTCCAAAGCGAAGCTGTTCCCTACGCTCCTGTTCCAGCCCTTTCCTGCCAACTTTGTGCCTTTGTTCTGTCCCTCAGCATCTCTCTGTGTTGACCATCTTTACCTGCAAATAAACTTGAACCCAGCTAGTAATGTCCCACCCCTTCTCGTTTTTCCTTTATCCACAAAATTCTAGAAAGTGTTGTCTCTATTTGCTTTCACATCTGCACTATACTTTTAAGATCTAATCTGTGCATGGTAACCTGGCAGAAATCACTCCTACAAAGGTCACCCATGGTTTGAATTGCTGCATCTTTTTCCCTTCCCAATCTTCTGCATTGATCCACAACATCTGACACCTCTCCTGTTAGATTCCAAAATAGTTCCACGTTGTCTTTCTCCCATCACTTCTCTAGTTGTCATTTTCTTTCCTTTTATCCTGTTTTTCCACTAAAAAAAGATTTATTTATTTTTATTGGAAAGTCAGATATACAGAGAGGAGGAGAGATAGAGAGGAAGATCTTCTGTCCATTAATTCACTTCCCAAGCGCCCTCAATAGCCAGAGCTGTGTCGATCCGAACGCAGGAGTCTGGAGCCTCTTCTGGGTCTCCCATGCCGGTACAGGGTCCCAAAGCTGTGGGTTATCCTCAACTGCTTTACCAGGCCACAAACAGGGAGCTGGATCGGAAGCGCAGGGCCACCAGGATTAGAACCAGCACCCATATGGGATCCTGGCATGCAAGATAAGGACTTTAGCTGCTAGGCTATCACTCTGGGCCCTACATTTAATTATGAATATTTTCAAGTGTACAGAAAAGAAATAGCTATCCAGTGAATAGCTAGTTTAACATTTTACTTGCCAACACTTTAACATTTTGCTATATTTGCTGTTTCAAATATATACTCATTAACATCCATTGATTTGTTTTACTTTTGATACTTCTCAAGATTCGTTGCACCTTTCCTTGGATGTTGTTTGCTCCCATTCCCTCTTCCCAGCTCTCTCTAGGGCTCTGCTTTCTTCAGCCTTTGCCTCGACTCTGTTTTCAGCCCTTCCCTATCTTTCCTATTGTGGTACCATGCTGCATTGCATTGCTTATTTGTATCAAGGTTAAGTTCAATCTTTTCTTCTTCTTGACTCTAAACTCAATCCCCTGACTGATTTGCTCATGTCTATTAATGTCACTGCCACTCTTTCACTAATTCAGTTTCTTTTTCTCATACCTCGGGCTGCTTGTTAAGACCTAGAATTTGATAGTAAGTCTATCTTTTTAATTCCCCCATCCCTCAATATTTCCATTGCTATCACACCTTTCTAAATTCTGGTTTCTAACTGCCTTCTGAAAGCCCTTTTCCATCTCCAGCCTCATTCTTCCAAAGCTCCTGCACAGTTCCCAGGTTAATTATCCTATCACCCTGGGCCAACACTGGGCAAAGGTCTGAGGGCAACCCTGTTCCATTGCCAAAGAGAGCTGTATCTATAGGAGCAACTGAAGCCCTTTAGTGAGATGAGCTTTACAAGAATGAGAAATGAGTCTGGCTTATTAAGCCTGGGTCGTTTAAGGGCTCTAATCTGCCAAGTCAAAGTTAGATCAAGGTTGGCTACAAGGCCCAGTGTTTACACTAATGTCCTGAAAACTGCTTACTGGCTGAGACTGGTGGAGCCCCGGGTGAGAAATTCCAGACAGAAAGTGGTAATCCTTAGGATACAGGACATAGCCCGTTTTGCAACTCTCCACCACCAGTGACTCAATGCCACAGCTCCAAAGCCACAGGCTGGGAGGGGAGAATATGCTCCCAGCCCTATGGCTCAAGAACCCTGTCCTTTCCTACCAGACACATGCAGGGGCAGTAAGTGGAGGCCTGGGAGTGTTGTTTATGATTATTCTTCAGGAGTTTGTGTACGTGTACTATGTTTGTAAATGTCTCACCACTTGTTGTTTGCACAGCCTGGAAACTCCAAGTGCAGCAGTGTCTACGAGAATTGTTTAGAACCAAGCAGGTCAATAGGTAGGTGACGCACCCTTCCCGTCTGCCACCCTCCTTCCTCCTGTTGTTGGATGTACGTGGCCCATTTCTCAAATCCCTCATGGGGAGATCAGCATACAGAGGTAGACACATAATTCTTTGAGGCACAGGCTTCCCAGAGGGGAACAGAATGCTGCAAGAGTGTCGCTGGGAAGACCCACAGTTCTCTTTGCTCTGGGGTGACCCACTGTGCTGATGGTTTGGCTTCATGGGCCCTTTCACTGCTCCAGCATCATGAAAGCCCCCTTCGAGAACACAGGACTCAAGGGAGGTCTACTTCAAAAGACAAGGAGACAATAAACTAATATGAAAATGGCTATCTGTCACATCTACTGGGATTAAGAGCAAAGCTTTTCTCCAGTATAGCAAAGGGAACAAAAGGAGATCTGAAAAATGAGAATCCCAACGAGGGGCCTCTCCACTGCATAGCTGCCAGGATGTTAAATCTTTCATTGCTACCTGAGATCATCGATGTTAGACCCAAGTTTTTCATGATACAAGCATAGGACATCAACTAACAGGTTGGACATACATTTTCATAAAGTAAGTTCTGTTGCACGTTAGTCATTGGCAAATTGTTGAAGGGATTTATTTCTTGCTGCAGGTTTAGGGGGGAGGTGACTGACAGGACAGATTACATTGTGGGGACAGAGTTAGAGAGCTTCATTTAGGGACTCAGGAGGAGTTTGTCATGGACAAGGCATCGTTTTCAACAATATTTTCATATTTCTTATGGAATGATGTCAATGTAACCTACTGGTTTTGTTCTCTTTTTGTATCAGGGTGTGAGAATCTGTTGTTTGTAGTACAGCTCTGATTGTCACCCTCTTACATCTTATTTAAAAAAAAAGAGTAGTAAATTAGGGCTGGTTCTGTGAGTTAAGTTACTGTCTGCAAAGCCAGCAACCCATCTGGGTGCTGATCAGGATCTTGGCTACTCTAGTTTCCATCCAGCTCCCTGCTTGGGGCCCAGTCCTTGAGCCCCTGTACCCACATGGGAGACCCTGAGGAAGCTCCAAGCTTCTACCTGGCCCAGCCCCAACTGTTGTGGCCATTTGGGTAGTGAACCAACAGATAGAAAATTGATCCTTTTTTTTTTTTTTTTCGCTCTCTCCCGTCCTACTTCCCTCCTCTTCTTCCCCTGGTAACTCTGAATTTCAAGTAGATAAATAGGTCTTAAAAAAATAGTAAACTAAGGGAATAATTCTTTTAGAACACTTATTGTTTTTAATTTGTTAAAATTTTTAAAATTTTACTCATTTGAAGGAGATAATATGTGTTTCCATCTGCTCGTTCATTACTAAAATACCTGTAAAAACTGGCTGTGCCAGGTTGTTCTAAATTTTACTGTATTTAAGTTAAATAGACATCTTTCCATTTGCTTACTGTTTATATCCCTTGTCTATATTCCTGCTGAACTGTGGTCCTTTTGCTTTTTTCGTGTGTTTATTAGTGAGGCATTAAGGGTTTAATTGTAATGTAAATTAAAACTTAAAAATAGAGAATAACCCCAATTGGATCAAATGAGATAAGGGGAGAAGCCACACCTAGCCTCCCAGCCATCTCAGAGTCCCTAATGTGGAGCATGCTCTGAGGGTCCTGCTCAAGTGTTTGTTTGTTTGCTTTGCTTTGTTTTTAAGATTTATTTTATTTTTATTGCAAAGTCAGATATATAGAGAGAGGAGGAGAGACAGAGAGGAAGATCTTCCATCCTCCCAAGTGACTACAATGCCCAGAGCTGAGCTGATCCTAAGCCAGGATCCAGGAGCTCTTCCAGGTCTCTTGCATGGGTGCAGGGTCCCAAGGCTTTGGACCATCCTTAACTGCTTTCCCAGGGTACAAGCAGGGAGCTGCAGGTACTCTCGCCCTGTCGTGGGTGTCACTCAGAATTCATTCCTCACTTAAATATACAGTGGCCTTATCCATGGATGTCCCTAGGCAGTAATTCCATACCCCTAAGACCCCAGAGCTTATCTCTGAGTGGCCATCAGGCAAAACCCAGTGCTGGTTGGCACTCTCCCCACTCATAAGCCAGGACCCTCCCCCAACCCAGATGCAGTGGATGGGGAGCTGGGATCCCCAGCAGGAAGCCTGGCCTGGCATGAGTTCCCATAGCCACAGCCACGTGGCTGATGGATCCAGACACCTGCCCGCTGCTCCACTGACTGTTCTTTGAGCTCTTGCTTCATCCCAGGCACTGAACTGCAGGAGACTTTCTACCTCATTCCCTCCCTGCCCCCCCAATCCCCCCATCTTCCTCTCCCTCTCCTCCCTTTTCTCCTTCCATTCCCTGTCATTCTGCTTTTTAAAAAAGCAGAATAAATAAAATCTTTTAAATAAGTCTTTAAAAAGAATTGCTGTGATTACAACAACTGAATACTATCATTAGATTAAATTTCAAGGTCCAGTAGTAAAGCAAATAGCTGCAGTCCAGTGCTGGAGCCTAATGGCTGAAGTCCTTGCCTTGCATGCACTGGGATTTCACAAGGGCACTGGTTCGTGTCCCAGATACTCCACTTTCCATCCAGCTCCCTGCTGTAGCCCGGGAAAGCAGTGAAAGATAAGCCAAAGCCTTGGGACCCTGCGCCTGTGTGGAAGACCTCAAAGAAGCTCCTGGCTCTTGGCTTCGGATCAACTCAGCTCTAGGCATTGTGGCCACTTGGGGAGTAAACCAGCGGACAGAAAATATTTCTTTCTCTCCTTCTCTCTGTACATCTGCCTTTTTAAAATATAAGTGGATAAATTTTAAAAAGAAAAGAAATGAAAATAGCTGTAAATGTACAATTTCAAATCTCGGTCATTTTCACTTTCAGGAGGCCAAAATCCCATCTCTGTAGGTACTATTTTTTATGAGCTTGCGATGTGGCTAAGGAGGCGTTGATACTAGGTGTGAAAGGATTGTCTTCAATTTTTATTTCTTTGCAGCGTTCTTTTAGCTGCTTGTCATTTGCTGAAAGTACATTTTGCTTAAACTAGATGAATCATCGGCCCATTTAACCTAGCCAATGGAAACTGTCAAGTGCACACATGGATGAAGGGTCCCGCTACTCCCTCGCTTTGTAGAAAGCCCTCCCGTCTCTCAGGACACATGTGTACAAAGTCGAGCATGGGCATGACAAAACCACATGTCACTGTGGACAGGGACTAAAGGAGGAACAGGTCATCAGGCTGGGCTCTCTTGACTGGGCTCCTCCCCGTCCCCACCAGAGTACCCCGGGGTGCTCCGTCTACGAGTCCCAGGAATCGGAGCGCTGTTCCTCCCACATGTGGTCCGCCCTTGGGCCTCATTACAATGTTGAAGCCGGAGGTAACAACAGGACTGAGATTTTATGGTCGGGCAGTGGACAGTCCCTACTTTAGGTGCAGCCTTTGATGATGCAGAACCACATCTCATATCTGGCCAAAACTATTCCTAAACTTTGGAAAAGCAAAAAGCCCCATCCTGGGATTCTTAGGGACAGAACCGTGTGGACCGTCAAAAGGACTCCATGCCATGGGGTAACAAACACTGATCCTCACATCCATGTGTTCCCTGAGTGTGGTATGGCAGGTGTGTGCAGCTGCTGCAGCTGTGCCCAAAGCAGGTGGGAACCCCGCCTTCACAGTGCACACAGACTACATGCAGTCCAGATAGGAACCCAGTGATCACAGAAGTGACAGAAGCAGTGACTCTTGTACTGTGGCCGCTGAAGATCGAGTGCCACGTTCCAGTCTGGACGGTCAGGGAAGGTTCTCCTGAAGATGTAGATGTTGGAATTGATGACTGGAGGATGACTGTGATGGAGATGGGGAAGGGGAAAGCATGTCAGAGGAAGTGAGCCCTAGGATGAGCTCACACTACAGGACCCAGTGGCCCCAGTAGAATTCTACACTGGAAAAGTGAGAGAAGGCAGGGAAGCCTAACAGAGAAGAACCTGCAGCCCATTCTAGAGCATAGGAAACAACGAACAGGTCTTCAAGCCTCTGAGACACACCATGTGAGCAGATGTACAGTTTTAACAGGCTGTTGTTGGCCATGATGTGTAGCATAAGGAGGAGGATAGAGAACATGACGGCTGATTGCATTTTGCCAAATAGCAGAATTGAAAGAACAGCAACCAGTGCAAGACTGAGCCAGGAAACTGACAACTTCAGGCATAGAGAGAGAAACTGGATGCTACCCCTGCTTAAGAATCCTGATCAACTGTATGATAGAAATGTAGCAGAGACTGACATGTCCAGATGTGGAGACAGTGCAGTGTGTATCTGTGCATCAAGGCCAAAGATGGACTCCCAGTGAAACTTGAATGTATCCTGACAGCAGGATGCTGGAGTCTCTGACATTGTCCATGCCTACAACGTTGGGAAATACTTCAATAGCAGAATGATGGACTTTCAATGGGACTACCCATTGTAAGACTAGAGGGGAAATCATTCGGAGGGGGAGGGAACTTAGAGAGGAGGATGGGAAATCCCAGAGCCTATGGAACTTATCATAAAACAACAACAAGAATAATGATAAAAAGAATCTGATCATTCCTTTATTTATCTTTGAGTTGAAAAACTGTAAGTGAAGTAATTAAATCTTGAATAGGATTTTACATTAGCCTTTCTGGTTGTGTACGGCTTGCTGTTTTTCTGCCCTTTGGGTAAGCACTGGAGCAGTATTGCATGGGCTTCGAGCTGTTTGCCAAGGTGGTAGGCCCTTCCCTTTTGGATCTTCCTCTGCTGTGGAGGCAATCGAGAGAGAGTAGAAGGAAGGGTGCTGAGAGGGAGGCTTTCCCTCCACGGCTGATGCTTGGCCTGGCTTTAGGAGGTAAGGTCAAACCCTGTATGGGTGGGTGAGGCTTTTAGCTTCCCATCAATCCTAGACACAAATCGGATTTTCTATTTACTGCATCAAAAACAAAACAATGATTTTGTGGCTCCTCATTCCCACAGGCGATGGCCATGACAGAGGAGTGCAGTTCCTACGAGAGGCCTCATTCATGAAGCACACGTGTCGAGTGGATCTCTTCGATGACCCTTGCTACATTAATACACAGGCCCTTCATGGTGCGCTCGGCTCTGCCAGAGAGCAGAGCTCAAGTCAAGCACTGGGGAGCTCGTGGCTTCCTGGAAGTAAGTAGCTTGCTGGCTGTCTGTGTTAGCTTCCTGGGGCTATTGTAACAAATGACCACAAACTGGGCATGTTAAAACAACAGAATTCCCGGAGGACAGAAATCTGTACTCAGGCTGTTAGGCTGATGGCTTCCTTGTGGGGACTCCTCAGGAGGGTTTGTCTCATTCTCCTTTCCTTGCCTGTGGATACGTCAGCCCCATTATTACACAAGTCCTCAGAGGGTCTGCTCTGGGACTGTGCGTCTGAGAGCGCTCTCTATCGCCGAGGCAAATGATCACTGGATTTAGGGTGAGATAAAATCATCTCATCAGCAAGGCCCTTCATTTAACTACACCTGCAAACACTCCTTTCCAAATTAGGTTACATTCACAGGTACCAGGGATTCAGACAGAACGTATCATTTTAGGGGCCAATAAATCTTTCATTATTTGTCTCTCATTCTATTTTTTTTTAAAAGATTGATTTATTTTACTTGAAAGTCAGAGTTAGAGAGAGAGAGAAATATGTTTTGTCCATTGGTTCACTCCCCAGATGCTGCAAAGACTGGAACTGGGCTGATCTGAAGCATGGAGCTGGAAGCTTCTTCCGGGTCTCCCTGTGGATGCAGGGAGCATGTGGACCATCTTCTGCTACTTGCTTAGGTGCATTAGCAGGGAGCTGGATTGAAAGTAGAGCAGCTGGGACTCAATCTCGTGCCAATGGGGATGCTGGGCGGAGAATATGACGTTGCTTGGGTCCCTGTTGTTCATTTTAAAGGTTATTTTTTTGGCCTTGGTTTTAGAGAGTTAAGAAGATTTTTTTTTCCTGCATTCTCTCACTTTAGCTAATATAGATCAGAACTTTGTGGAGATGATTTGGGTTTGAACGTTTTAGCATTTTGATTTTTCAACAGTCTTTTCAAATATGTTAAATTTGCTCCCATTTTGGTGTCTGTTTGCTTTTGCAGTAGAAAAGTTGTCAAACTCAGGAAATGTTGTCTGTTTGAACAACAGTGGTCACTGCTTCTGTTTTCTTTAATGTTGGTATTGATTTAATTCATTTCCAAACCCCTTGGTAAATCATCTATGCATTACTAAAATAAGATGGCTCCTTTCTTCAACCTTATACCATGGGTGAAATGCAACAAAACAAACATCATTTTCTGCCAAGTTGCTTCCAGTGGGAAATGCATAAACAGAAACATAAACAAATAAGAGCAAAATAAGCCAAAAACTACAGTCAACTGAAAAACAAACAGAAATGTGTTTCATAGGATATTGAAACTTGTTCAGAGATTGGCATGGTCACAAACCGGCTTTACTCCAAAGATGGCGAACCAGTTGGCCACTGAGAAAGCCCTTTCACTGGCCCAGAAAGTTTCTCTAGAACAGCCAAAGGCAACTTCCCAGCTAGTGTGGTTGCCATGGCAAGACCAAATTTACAAGACTTTGTGGAGTGCGGGTTTTACTGGGCTACCCAACTCTAGAAATGCGGAGAGCCCTCAGTGTCAGTCACGGAGCTGTCCTTTTGCAAACTTTCTAGGGTCATTCTTGGTGCCCACCCCCCAACTAGGTGGAGTTCTCTGGTTGCATACTGAGAGCTTGGCAGGTTGGGTCTGTGTGGGAATCTGAGTTAGGAAGCGAGGGGGAAGGCTGGCTGTAGACGGGGAGGTGGAAGCACAGTGTGGGCTTGACGAGCCTCTGTCAGGCCCCACAGGGAGCTGGCGTGCTCTGTCAGTGTCTGGGTCTGTGTCTGTGTCCTTAGATTGTGTCAGTCTCTGTAAGTGGGCCATTCCTGGGTGGATAAGCCTTAGAGCAGCTGAGATGGAGCCTGAATTGCTGTTCAACTGAACTAGACCCATGGGGGCGGTTAGCTCTTGCTTGCAGGGGTTTGGACCGTGCTTCTCCATGCCAGCCACAGAAGGCTTTTTGTGTGATGGGTGAGGGGATATGAACCAGATTCCTGCACTAAGCAGAGGACAACTGTTCAATGTGGAATGTTCTGCATGAGTAAGGTTAAATGCTTAGAGGGACAGTTTGTCTTTAGAAAGGTTTCTGAACCCTAGATTTTGAAAGTGACTTTATTTAATAGTATTTACTTGATAGGTTCCAACAGATTTTTCAGAGCCACAAGATATTAATAAATAAGATTTAGTAGGTGGCTCAAATTAGATGGTTATTGATATGTAATTCCAGTTCCTTTACAATCAACTTTTCATTGTTAAAATATTTATAACTGTAGCCAAAAAAAAAAAAACAACAACAACAACAGTTTTTTGCTATTTAATAACATGAAAAGACAAAATCCATTTGCAACTAGATTCCGGTCTTTGGTTAGAAATAAGTAATGGCCTTGCCCAAAACTAGAATATCAAATGTATTTTTTCTCATTCCCGTGACAGTATGTCCAACAATGTAGACTTCTAGCATTCTTTTTGTTTGTACCTTAGGGCATGTAATGTAGTATAGCCCTCTTTGGTTTCTTGCTGCCCCCTAGAGGTTATATTTAGCCTAGCATCACTCCCTCCTAAAAAAATGAAATACTACTCCAAAAACATAATGTTAACTTAAGAAAATGCAGTAAAGAGGAGTAGTAGGACTAACTTCACAATACTTTTCTATAAAATACCTTATGTTCCCTTAAACATTTCCCTTAATGATTCCTCTTCCTTCTTTGTCCCACAGAAAGCCTCTCTTGTTTCTGTAGCACTCAGCCACCTTCATCTCCCCCAAAACAAATTGATCAGTTCAGCAAACTTAAGAAGCAAACTAAAACATATCCAGCCTCATGAACCTAGTACATCTTCAGCATGACCCCAGGCTCCTCACTGCTGCCAGTTACTGCCAACATAGGGAGGGTTATACACCCCATCTGTCCTTGCTAAACATGCCAAAAGAAAACCACTAGTTTGGATACCAGATTTTTAGGTTGGTTTATTATTAGTTTGTTTTAATTTTTTTAAAAATTTCATTTTTAGTATTGTTTACAGAGTTGAGAGGGATGCATGCCCTTGTGGGTCTCTGATAAGGGGGGGAATGGCTGAGGTATGGAGGAAAGTGGGTGGGACAAATGTTTCCCCCCCCCCCCTTTTATTCCCTCCTGTATCCACAAAGAAGGGGAAGGGACCACTCCTGCTGTCAAACAACATCAGCAGAGATGGGAGACACTCATTTGAGGATGCCTTAGGAACCTTGATGTGGGGGAGCATGTTCTGAGGGTGTTACCCGAGTGGTTTTGAAGCCCTGAGATGTTGCTGGCTTCATTGCACCAGGGTTGAGAACATCTTTCCGAGGCCTATTGGCTGACCAAGTTCACCTTAGTTTATCCACAGGCCCAGGAACATGCTGCAAAGCTTGACCAGCAAAGTGGTTCAGCCTTTTCTGCTTTCCAGCCTCTGGTGAGGTGGTTAACATTCCCTGCTGATCTAGATGAGTGGGCCATCATGTCCCCCGTGTGCATCTGGGCATGCTGTCCACTGCACAGGCATCAGCACCTGAGGAAGCCCAGTCTTGACACGTGGGCTCCAAAGTTGGACCACACATCTTGTGATTTTCCCTGTGGCCAGGGTTTGAGTCCAGCAGATAGTTGGGGAATCCCCCAGGAAACCTTGTCTTGGGTGACCTCAGACTTGATTCTTACGTGTACAAGCTAATGCAGGGTCAGGTTCAGTCTATCACCTGCACCAGCCCACGTATACCAGTGGATGCAAGCTGTCTGGTTAGCTTTGCCCCATCCCCATTTCTCATGCAAAAGAAGGCTGCTTTCAGCCCCAGATCTCTTGTGTGTTGGCGGGTGCCATGGCCCTGGTTGGCATGGCCTGCCCTAGGTCCTGGCCTTTGCATGTGCCAGCAGGTGCTGCAGCCTGGTCCAACCCTACCTCCTCCCATCCCTGGCTCCTGCAAGTATCAGTGGGTTTCATGATCCAACCTCATTTAGCCCATCACCACCCTCGGCTCTCTGCACCAAGCTGCAGGTGCTACAGTCCCACACAGGAACACCCACAGTTTCCCTACAAAATTTGCCCCCAGATGCAATTCTCTTGCATTCTGGTGGGTGCTGTGACCCAGCCTGATGTAGCCCACCTACTGTTCTGACATTTGTGTGTAGGTAGGGCAGGTACTAGAGCATGGCCCAGCCAGTCATGCCCTCCACCAGCTCCAGCTTTTGCATGTGCTGGTGGTAGGTGATGCTATTTTGTCCAGTCTGGGTCTCCCATGTGGTTGGGTACCTTGGCCTGACCCAGAAATGGCTTCTGTCTTTCTTCATACAAATCACCCCATCTCAGCTCCCTTGCCCACCAGTGAGTACAGTGGCCTAGTCAGTGGTAGACCCCAAAAGTCATTCCTCCCCTGTCAAACGCACCCTCAGCTGCTATCACTCAATCATGTCCTGTACCCTCCTTTCCCAGGTAACCTATGGCCCCTGCCTGTGGGTCAGGGTGGCACGTCCCAGCCTAGCATTCCCCACCTTCCCCACATATAAAATAAAAGGTGACTATGCTGGCACACTGGTATAGTTAACTCAGATTTGGCATTAACCAGGCCCAGGATGCCCACCAGCTATTGGCTGCTTTCTCATTTGTCTACAGCTGGTGTATTATTAGTTTCAGTGTCACCTTCCATAACAAGAAATGTCATTCACCCAACACTCTAGTGTAAAAATAAGTAAAATGTGTCTGTTTGATATAACAGCACAAAATTGACAACATAGGACTGGTGTGGTGTCTTTGCTATTTTCAGCACCTGGCCTGTATCTCTGGTTCAAGGTGAAAGCCAAAGTGCTCTGTAATCTTTATGTATCACGTTTATGTTCTGCCAGTAGGGGGAGGTAAAGGCAAGGGAAGCACAGGTACGTTGTTTAGAGGATGTAACCCACAAGTGGAGACCGCATGACTTCTTACCTGCCCTTGGCAGAACTGAGGTGTTACCATACTTAGCTGCAAAGAAGGTGGGAAAAGTTACCTCTCATTGGATACCCAGCTAAAACTTAGGAATTGTATAATATTGCTAAAGAGGTAAAT